ACGTTTATTAGTCCTCGGACGTCTTTAAAAAACATCCATCGTAACTTCTTTAGGATTGATTCCTGAACAGTCAAATTGGATTTTATGGTGAACGTGATTTTCTGAGATTGCGTTATTATTGCTTCTTGTTCATACAATTTTCCAGACAATAAGTATACTCTGTCCTGGTAATAAAGGTTTGTAGGCCCTCGTATGAAACCTCACGAAAACTAGACCTACAATAATATGCTGCTAGGCCAAAACAATAGTATATTACATACCGAGTGGGGAAGTGTTTCATTACTGTCGAGAGATTGACTAATAATCTCGAGACAGAAATGAAAACTTCCCTCCGAGGTTTGTATACTATTTTATTTGCAAGCACACCATTAATTATGATTAGTCAATCAATTTTTTTAATATCAAAAAAATAAAACAAACATGCCAAAATGTGTCATTCGCTGTTTTGACGTTTTTACCTGACATGTTTTCATTGTTGCCAGCAAAGGTAAATAAATTAGAGTGAGGGAAATCGGTGAGGGAAGTCGAATAGGGAAATCGGTGAGGGAAATCGAAAAGGGAAGTGACACGGGTAAAGTGACTGTTCCAAATTTTTAAAAAGTCAGTAATGTCAAGATTACATATATGGTTGCAAATAAAATTAATTTCATTGTTGTAACACTACAAAAAAATGATGACAATTGAATATTCCACTTTCTAATAATGATCCCATTAATATTAATAAATAAAACATTACGTTTTTTTTGAATGAAACCCATCATACAGATAAACAGTTTTATTAGCAGTAATTAAAAATAATAATAATTAGTATGAAAGTGAAATTGTCTGCTCCTGACAATGAAAATCGTCCATCGTAAATAGTAAAATGAAAATAGATTTTATTAAGGAAGCAAAGAGGCAGTTAAAGATTCTATTTACACGATTTAGTATTTACTTTGCCGCCTCATTAACTTATGTAGATAGAGCAAATATTAACTTAGTAAAGTACCTAATGTAAATTATAGGTGTGTATTAATATCGCTACTATGACTATTCAACCAATAAATATCTTATTAATGAGACAATTTCACATTGTAGATGTATTTGTATCATTGGGGTTTAGCTTGTTTGAATCAAAAATTTTTTGGCTGAAGATAGAGACTTTTCAAGGGATTCAGTTAAAGGGTAAACCCCCCCCTCTGAATTGGTGAAAACAATTCCTTAAATTACCAGCAAATTCCTCCAAACTGCTCGCAAATTCCCTACAAATGCCTATTACAAATTCCATAAAAATCCCCAAAATTGTTCATGATAAGTAATGTATTTTTCTATTTTTATTACGCTCAGTGTTAAAACCAATAAAAAATTTTAGACATTCCTCCAATTTCCTATAATTTTTTTCAAATTCCCTACAAAGTCCAAATTCCCCACAAATTCCTCTACATTCCCCACAGTTTTGGCAAAGAATTCCTAGGTGGTTTGCCCTTTGGATTCAGTTATTAGTGAAAATTTGCTAACGAAAAACTCAAAGCAGGCCAAAAATCACAAATAATTGAAAAAATGAAAAACACACGTAAAAAGCAAATAAGTAAGCCATTTTAAAGGTAATTAAACTTAGACGCGAAAAGCAATTAACGACACCTCTGAAAAAAAAAGTAAAACGTTCCACTTTCTCATTTGTTTATAAAGTAGGTGCTAAAACGCATTAAATAATAACATCCTTAATGGAATACGCGTGTGTTAAATTTACAAGTAAAAAGTTTATTGTAACCTGGTATTATCACTCGTCTTTCCAACATCCTGTCTGGTAAATGGCTCACAAACAATTAACTACTTCTTTGTCCTATGGAATAACGCTGACAAAATACTTAATTCAACTGATAATAAACACCATATGCACGACAAACTGTGGAATTTTCAATTTGACACTACAAACACTGAAGTCGACTGAACAATTTCAAAATATTCCGACCCAAACAGGTATAATAGGGGTTGGGGTTGTATTTTTTAATGGCAGGGGGTCGCACCTGGGTTGCAAATTTTCCCTTTTAATTTAATTAAAACTCGTTTTAAATGCAATTTGCTTCGATTCCTAAGTTCTTTATTTAAATTTGGATTATCCTATTTGTCAAGGATTTATCTTGAACTCTTTTCATCGTGTCCAGGGTCTTATAATCCATTCTGTTCAGCTTGCATATTGCAATGTCCAGGCTTAAGTAGGTATTTCTCTAATAGATGGTGTGATATTTCTCTATATTAGATCTTCAGTGAAAATTCACTTTGTCAGTGTTGCCAGAGGGTACCAGGTTTGGTACCATTCGTTTTGAAAAAGTACGCTGGTACGACGTTGGCATATTTGGTACAATTTTCAATTTTTTTATTTTTTCCAAATTCTCAAAGAGTCTTAGCCTACTGCCTACTTAGTCTAATTAACTTGTATTTCTGTATCCAAATTCGATATAACAATAATTTTTGATTCGTAAATAGATGGCGTCACCAATGTAACACTCGTTTTGTGGTTTTTGGTTGACGTACCTAGTTTGTGTTTAGTTTAGGTTTTCGGCAGAAAATAAAGAAAACTCAAAGCCTCGTACTTTAAATCGGTTTTCCTGATCGGGAAAGCGGAAATTCAAAAAAAAAACCATTGAAAAATGACATTCCAAAGCCTACTTGATGAAACTTAAGTTTTTGTTTCTCACCCCGTTGAAAAATTCGAAATTTTTGATACAAAATGAAGGAAACTCGAAGCCTCGTACTTTAAATCGCGACTGTCAAAAATGACAAATGATATTTATTGAAAGGCCTCCTTGATTGAAGTTAGCGACAAGCGGTGTCGCCACATCAAAAGCATCTTAAATGGGATTTTGCTAATTATGGCATTTAAAAGAGGAAATTTTTGCTAGAAAATGAAGAAAACTCAAAGCCTCGTATGTTAAATCGCTTTTTTCCATTAAAAATCTCCGGAAAAGTCGAAAATTCGAGGAAAAATCATAAGACGTCATTTCAAAATAGCCGACTAAAAGCAACATTGCCACATTACATCTCGGAAAACAAAAATAACATTTTAAATGAGTTTTTTGTTTAAAATTCAATTAAAAATTGTTAAATAATTAATAGAATAATGATTATAATAATTAAAATTTCCTAGATAAAACATCGGAAACTTGTTTTTAGTTTAATTTCAATGAAAATGACATTACAAGGTTTACTTGTTGATTATAGTGAGTAAGACAAAGACACCGATAAAGTAGTATATATTTGCGAAAATCATCGTTTTCTGAAAAAAGTAAAAATCTTAAGAGAACCCAATAGAAAACCAACATTCCAAAGTCAACTTGATAAAACTGAAGTTTTTGAATATTCCCGGCTCTTTGATTGGGCGCTAAAAATCGCATTTTGAATATTCCCGGTTTTTGACTGACTCCAAATTATCCGCTGACCAATAGAATTATAAACTGGGGCCCAGTTACTGGGCCCCGTGATTGAAATAACTCCGGCCCTTCGGGCTCGCATATAATTAACAGTTTTCCCGATCGAAACCGGCCTGGAAAAGTGGAAAATTCGAGGAGAAACTGAATAAAAACACTCGAAAATGGCCGACTGTCTAAAATGCCAAATGACATTACACTACAAGACTTACTTGATCAAAAGCGACGTTGCCATAATTACAATCTCAAACATAATGTTTTTCCAGATTTGATTGAGTAAAACAAAGAAAAAGATAAGGTAGGATACATTAGTAAAAAACCAAAAGCGATTATAAATGAATAAGATAAAGAGCGAGATAAAGTAGGAAAGAATTTAAATGATCAGTTTCTTTAATTTTGGTACAAAAAATGTTTGCTCTCTGGCAACACTGCACTTTGTTTTCTAGATTTTATATTCAAAATGTTTAGTGTTATATGGGTCATAGAAATTATCTTTTGTTACGTAAAATATAATCTGTGGTCATTCAGAAAATATTAATTACGCTTTTAGTACCCATAAAATAATTTTGGTCATAACCAAAATACTCACAAAATAAGAAACATTGGTATAAAATCTATGTGGTAATCAAAATTCTAATGTTAATAGATGTTGCGTATGTCCAGACCACCCCCACTTTTAAGCCTGTTTCTGCTGTTTGCGTTATCATCTATCATCATACATAATTTTTGAATTTGAAAAAGCCTATTTGTAATACTGGTTTCCTATGATAGGCAATCAAGAGCCGGTAATAGTTAAAATTTTGATTATTACTGGCTCTTGATTGATAAGATATTTTCACTCAATTCTGTCAAAAATCAAGGCACGTATGAAAATTTGCACTCCATTATAATATCATGTTTCTTATCTTTGAACGTTCTATTTACCAAGAATTCACGTCAATGAAGATTTGGGAAAGGTAAACATGACACTGTATAGTTTTTGATTGAAAATTAACATAAAATCTACCTGATTTGGAAATGAAATTGCTATCAGGATTAATGGTCAAAACCTGACCCTTCCGCAGTCAGCAACAATGCCATTAATGAAATTCCATCTCGTTTAGGAATCTAGGTCATTAAGTACCTGAGAAAACTGCAAGTCGTGGGAGTTTGTTCATTGAATAAATTATTAATAGGCCTTTTTTTAGGTTATCAACATTATTTGTTTTAATGAATCCCTAAGAACAATGCAACAATAATAATTACGTATTATAATTATTACATTGCCAAGCAAAACTGGTATTTTACGAGAAAATTATGTTATAAAAGCTGCTTATAATAAATTTGTTCGTTATTCTCAATCAAAAGTGTCATCAATCAAGTTGCGTTTTGACCCATTTTAACCGCCAATGATAATTATCTTAATATGTATGCAATAAGAATAACTAAATAAAGGATTTATTTTTGACAATAAACATTATTCCGTCCTGTAATTTTTTCTCATAGGTCATTTTTCTACAGCATTAGATAGGAGGGCCTACTACCCTGTATGTCAAGCCGTTATAAATTTCTTGTGAAGAGTTTTTCTTCGAACAAAATCAAAATGTGACTTACCTGTTGTAGTTTTCTGCGTCTCTTTCCTTTTCAATTTATCCTTTTGTTCCTGTCCCTTTTTCGCGCCCAATCGAAAACTGGCCAACCGTTGCAGAAAACCGCCCAAACCCGATTTGTTTTTCCTCTTGACTCGCGCCTCTTCGCCCGTATTTTCCGCCATCGCCAAGCCAACGACGCTCGTTCGTTTACCAGCGCCGACGTTCGACTGTTTGACTTTGCTAGGCTGGTCTTCGTCGGTTGCGTTGTTATTGTTGCCGTAGAAGGGGAACTTGGACGTGAGACTATTTTTGCTACCCGCGGAATTTCGTACGACGCCACTGCTTTGATCCTGGTGTTTATCTGGAAAAAAGTTTGGAAAATGTTAGGTTAGTTGGGGGGAGGTCAAGGATTGCTACACCTAACAATTTCTCAGACTGGAAAATTTGTTGGATTTTCAAGGATTTTTACTTTTTCTTTGGATCTTAATGCACCGTTTTCACCTTTGACACATGGATAATCTTATCAGGACAAAGGACCCCGCACATTTCTTATGGAAAAGTGATCTATGTGGAATTTGGCTGAATTTTTGATATTGTGTAGAGGCAGTCGTCCTTAACAAAAGTTAACATTGCGCTAATGTTTAATACCGAACAGTTTTTAAGATATCAATTAAAAACTTTTTTAATACAATACTCTTAAGTATGACGTCACCAATTAGGCAATTCAATCCATCTGTCAAGACGAAAAATTCAATATGGCGTGGCGGCCAGCAAGTTTGTTTCGAACGCGTATTTTCATGTATATTTCAATTATTTTGCTTCGAGTCGCGCTTGCAGCTTTGATTTCGATTATTCAATAAAATATTTATTTACTAAGTACCTACGTAAACTATTAAGTCGGGCAGAAACTAGATATTTTCTTGTGTTTTTTGGTCCATATGTGGCCGCCACGCCATCTTGAATGTCACGTGGTTTGAATTGCCTAATATGCTATACTCTATACTATACTCTATACTATACTCTTCTCGTTTTAACATTAGGAAATAAAAAAACAACAACAACAGGTACAAATGAAATCGCTATATGACTGACATGACATGACGTTGATGATTGCGGCAGGGCAGGAGCTAGGTGTTGTTTACCCATCAGGATAATACACAATACACTTGTTAACCTACTTATTTGTCACAAATCGCTAGGTTATCTTTTTCTATTTCTTAATGTTAAACGGAGAAGAGTACATATAGTCAAAGCAAAAGTGGAAAGGATAGTTATTTTCGGTGCTGTGAGCGTACAGGTGACGTCATACAGAAGAGTATTATATTTAAAAAGTTTTTAAATGATATCTTAAAAACTGTTCGCTATTAAACATTAGCGCAATGATAACTTTTGTTAAGCAGGACTCCCTCTACACAATATAAAAAATTCAGCAAAATTCCATATAGATCACTTTTCCATAAGAAATGTGCGGGGTCATGGAGAATATGTTACTACTGTATTATGTATTATCTGGCAAGTGGATCTTGAGCTGGATGTTGGTAATTTGGTTCCTGGGCTGGAACGTAATAAATAAAAAGGTGCTAAACCCTTTTTGTTATCAATATGTATTTTGGTACTAAAACCCCTGAACAGAGTTGCAATATTGGTTCTCAGCTATTTTTCTAAATATGAATGTCATAATTTGAACTATGCACTACACTATTCGGAATAAAGATTCTTTGAAAATTAAATATTGCATTTCATTCGGAATATAAGTATTCTTCATGAATTGATTTGCCTCGCTGCGCTCGGCGTTCAAACTTCCATGCGCGTCACATAAGTATTACTTAGGGCCGGTTTATCAATCAAGGGATAACTCGCAGAGACTCTGAGTCAACTCTAATTCTGGGCTAACTAGCTAGTTAAGTCGAAAGGTGTTTATCCAAGCTTTTTTAACCCAGGGCTGGTAAACTCTCGGGTTCTTCGAAGGTTGGCACTACTTATGCAACGTTGCCAGCTCACTTTTATTTATTTTTTCACATTTTCTGCTTATAACCTTACTTAATCATGTAATTTTTTTTTTTTTTTTTTTTCGTTTTCGTAAGGCATTTATACCAAAGTAGCATGCGTGCGACTTGCTGCTAGAAAGCTGGGAGCACGTTGCAACTTGAGTTTTTCAGGTTTACATTCATACCAAAGGCCATTTGAAGATGCACATGTTTAGAGATACTGATATATATCTTTTTGAATGTAACACTTGCAAAGTGAAATTTAAACGAAAAGGTGTTTTGAAGAGGCACATGTTAACACACTCGGATATTTATCCTTTTGAATGTATCACTTGCGAAGTGAAATTTGAACAAAAAAGCAATTGGAAAATCCACATGTTTGTTAACACATTCGGATATTCATCCTTTTGAATGTGACACTTGCGAAGCAAAATTTAAAACAAAAGGCGTTTTGAAGAAGCACATGTTAATACATTCGGATATTTATCCTTTTGAATGTGACACTTGCAAAGCAAAATTTAAAATAAAAACCGTTTCGAAGATGCACATGGTGACAGACTCGGATATTTAGTTATACTTTTAAATGTGACACTTGCAAAGTAAAATATAAACGAAAAAATGATTTGAAGAGACACATGTTATCACACTTGAATATTTAATCTTTCGAATGTAACACTTACTAAACAAAATTCAAATGAAGAAGACCAGTGGAGTATCAACCCAGCTCTAGGCCTGTGTGCCAAAATCTCCGCGGGCCCATTACAGGTCCTCCGCCGGAGTCGATTTTTTTTTACTAACCCAATCTAACCCAAAAGTCGTTCAAAAAACACTCTTAAAATTTTTTTTTAGGTACAGGTATTCAAACGTTGAATTGTGAATTCACCATTTTCGAAAGTGGTAAAAATAACTATGTATAGTATTTTTAATCCGACTTGAAACACTTGAAAAACATTTAGTCGCCATACATCAAACAAATAAAAAACATGGGCGTCACATAATTTTCATTTCTTTGAATGGTGATGATCAATATCAAACAACACAACTGAATAATACGTGGAATAAAATAGCAAATACTATACACCCCTAGCAAGTAAACATCTTGCATGCCAATTTTTAATGCAATAGAATGAAATGTCTAGGGAAAGTCTAAGGTTGAATAGAGAACGAAAACGATTTCTCCTGTTCCACGTCTAGAATTCCCAGCGCTTTTTGCTGGGAGTGGAACAGGGGAAATCGTTTTCCTTCTCTATTTAACCTTAGAATATTTTTCTAAGCATTTCATTTTATCGCATTAAAATTGGCATGTCAGATGTTTACTTGCCAGACGTGTATAAATTGAGATGACACTGGTATTCTAGTCACAGAAAGACCTAATCGTTTCCAGGAAGACGTAAGTAGCCCACGCCAATAATTGAACCTATAGGCGCGTGCCGACTTAAATTATTAATTTGAGCTACTGTAGCAATATTTCGTCGTTGCTTATATTTTTTACATACAGGGAAACTTACAATAGATTTTCTATGAAATTAATAGAAGAAGAGCGACGTGATGTTGAAACATCCTTATATAATGCAGTGTTTCAAGTCGGAATTAAATTACTATACCGATGCCGGTATTTTTTTCGCGCGTATATAGACTATTGTCCGTATATTTATTAATCATTATTATACCAGCAAAAAAATAAAAACACAATTAATAATTTTAGGTCTATTATCTTCTAAAACATTTTTTTGCAGTTTCTCTGTGGAGCTCACAGGCCCCTTTCGGGGCCGGGCCTGTGTGCTTTGCACACATGGCACACCGGTAGATACGCCACTGAAGAAGACCATATGAAAAATCACATAATAACACATTCGGATATTCATCCTTTTAAATTTGACACTTGCAAAGCAAAATTCAAACGGAAAGCGATTTGAAAAGGCATATATCATATCATGCGTGCGACCGTGCGACTTGCTGCTGAAAAGCAGGAAGCACGTTGCAACTTGAGTTTTCCATGTTTACATTCATACCAAAGGCCATTTGAAGATGCACATGTTCACAGATTCTGATATATATCTTTTTGAATGTAACACTTGCAAAGTGAAATTTTAACGAAAAGGTGTTTTGAAGAGGCACATGTTAACACACTCGGATATTTATCCTTTTGAATGTGACACTTGCAAAGTGAAATTAAAACAAAAAAGTAATTGGAAAATGCACATGTTAACACATTCGGATATTCATCCTTTTGAATGTGACACTTGCGAAGCAAAATTTAAAACAAAAGGCGTTTTGAAGAAGCACAAGTTAATACACTCGGATATTTATCCTTTTGAATGTAACACTTGCAAAGCAAAATTTAAAATAAAAAGCGTTTTGAAGATGCACATGGTAACACACTCGGATATTTATCCTTTTGAATGTAACACTTGCAAAGTAAAATATAAACGAAAAAGCGATTTGAAGAGGCACATGTTATCACACTTGGATATTTAATCTTTTGAACGTAACACTTACAAAGCAAAATTCAAAAGAGAAGACCATCTGAAAAATCACATATTAACACATTCGGATATTCATCCTTTTGAATTTGACACTTGCAAAGCAAAATTTAAACGGAAAGCGATTTGAAAAGGCATATATCATATCATGCGTGCACCTTGCTGCTAGACTAGAAAGAACGGAGCACGTTGCAACTTGAGTTTTCCATGTTTACAGTAATACCAAACTCACATAGTGCTACCATATTCATCGATAAACCTCTACGCAACAAGTCAAAAATAAACAACGTTTGTTCGTCTTGCAAGTACGTTGCAAACTATTAAAATATATATCTACATGTTCCGATCACTCCGATGTGAAACCAGGCATATATTTCTAGGTCAAGGTTCGAAAATAATAGGTCTGTTTCTGCAGAAATCACAAACCAGTCAGAGTGAATTTCATTGGTTATTTGCTCCGACTGGTTTGTGATTTCTACAGAAACAGACGTATTAGTATGCTTCCTGCTTTCTAGCAGCAAGTCGTAGATCGCATTCTACTTATATCCAAGGTTATCCGTTATCCGTAACTCATGGGGTAACCCTCTATTGATAAACCGGTCCTTATATTCCTAATAAAATAAATATCTATTATAGGTTTTTTATGTTATATTTAGGATGACGTCATCGGACAAGGACAGACAACGTTGTAAATGTCCATTTTTTTTCTTATAATTTTCCAGAATGTCATGTGTCAATAATTCTGACGACAGCTAAAAATAACGAAATGAAAATGTTTATAAAAGTCATGCAACGTCGCGCACCATTGCCAACTAAAAACATCTGATAAACCCCTACTTTAAATGCATTAAAAAGTACTTTTAGTTTTGATAGCTTGGCAGCAGAAATTTACTAAATGTGACGTCATCATAAAAATCCTATATGTGTTGTACCGCTTGTGTTTGAAGTGCGTCAATTGCCAATAATATTTTCTATAATAGCTCTGTTCTAACCCAGCAGGAAACCGTAATATTACCGTCAGGATTCTGCGCAAAACCTAAAATTTTTGCGCAGATATCGAAATTCGTATACACAGTGGTTCCAAAACCGTTCTGGAACGGTTTTTTGACGGCGGGTTGGAACAATAAACCTTATAAATGCCGAAATAATTCTGAGTATATGTGGAAAGCAGTTATATACATAATAGCCTAGGGTCGATTTAAAGCTTTACATAGGAAACCATGAACAAATTAGAGACAAGCTGAAATTTGGTAAATAAGTTAATTTGTATTGGGGTCCTCAATAAACCACCAAACCCCACCGGAATTAAGTTCCTTACGTATTGACAACCTGTATTTTACCTCTACATTTGACGATAACTGAAAACTTCTAGCCTCTCTACCTTGATTCGATGTTTGAACCTGCAACTTATTCCCTTGCACTTCCCTTGTCAAGTGACAGAAAATGGATGGCTACCGTACTCCGTACTCCACCTTTTGCTGGAATTAAGTTTCATTTATAACCTTATTTAAGAAATCTACTTTATGCTCAATAATTACCATATTTGCCAGAATTATTAGTTCTTAGGTTCCTTGGATAAAATAGGTAATAATAGTAATAATAAATAAATATTGTTAATAATGCATTATCTTGGGAACCAAATTACGTGTAGGTACCCCTTGAGCTACGAGGCATCAGCAAGGGGAATGCAGTTGTAAAAAAAGATGGCTGATTTCATTCATAAAATACCTAGCTGCGTCCGAAATTTTTGGCAGCTTTAGATCCCCTGGCCAGACATTATTTATATTTCAAAATTTACTAAAAAGAGACAAATCTATACTTACTTGATTCTATCAAAGATCTCTGACTGACTCTGTCTCTGTTCAAATCCAAATGTGTGTGTTGGTATTGAACTCCATCGAGATTGACCACTTTGACCGTGTGTCCTTCTCTGTCTGTCTTGATTAATTGAGAGCCTGCAACAAAGATAGACAATTAAAAATTTGATTGAAGAAAAAATCTGTGTTAACCGACACGCACTTTTCAAGAAAACCCACCGTTCAGACACCTGAACGGCCTTAACGCTACCCACAAGTGGATTTTTCTGCACGCAAATTTCGACATTTGCATTAACGCCCACCGAAGCGGGGCAACTTTTCTTATTGTCGACGTAAAGTTTTGGGTTCAAAATATCCATTTTCGAACGATTCAAGTGTCTTTTTTTAAGTCTATTTTAAAACTAATCAAAGTAGATTTTTAAAATTTTCAGGATTTAGACTCACTCAGTAGATGTTTGAAATTTTTTAGGCCCAGGATTTATTGAAGAGGGTTTGACAGAGTAAATTTCAATCATATTTTTTCTATTCCAGGCACTTGAATTTTGTTTATTTTGAGAATTTTGAATAAAACTCAGGACAAATAGACAAAAATGGAAATAGAAATCAAAAGCAATGAAGAGAGAAAACATGAGAAAAAACGTGCAAATGAGTGGGTAGACATATTATTCCCAGGCTCTTGGGATTTGTTTATCCCGAGAAATTGGAACAATACTCCAGAGGTTGGAATTCACAAAAACTGAGCGATTTTGAGCGATGAAAAGACGAAACTTGAGAAAACATGAACAGACAAGTGGGTGAACATAGTGTTTCCATTCTAAGCTCTTGAAATTTGTTCATCTGGAGAAATTTACACGATATTCAAGATCCTGAAATAGACAAAAATGGAGATAGAAATCAAAAACAATGAAGAGAGAAAACATGGGAAAAAACATGCAAATGGGTGGGTAGACATTGTTTTTCTATTCCAGGCTCTTGGGATTTGTTTATCCTGAGAAATTGGAACAATACTCCAGAGCCTGGAATTCACAAAAACTAAGACAGAAATTTTAAGCGATGAAAAGACGAAACTTGAGAAAACATGAACAGACAAGTGGGTGAACATAGTGTTTCCATTCTAAGCTCTTGAAATTTGTTCATCTGAAGAAATTTGAACGATATTCAAGATCCTGAAATAGACAAAAATGGAGATAGAAATCAGAAGCAATGAAGAGAGAAAACATGAGAAAAAACGTGCAAACGAGTGGGTAGACATAGTTTTCCTATTCCAGGCTCTTGGGATTTGTTTATCCTGAGAAATTGGAACAATACTCCAGAGCCTGGAATTCACAAAAACTGAGACAGAAATTTTAAGAGATGAAAAGACGAAACTTGAGAAAACATGAACAGACAAGTGGGTGAACATAGTGTTTCCATTCTAAGCTCTTGAAATTTGTTCATCTGAAGAAATTTGAACGATATTCAAGATCCTGAAATAGACAAAAATGGAGATAGAAATCAGAAGCAATGAAGAGAGAAAACATGAGAAAAAACGTGCAAACGAGTGGGTGGACATATTTTTCCTATTCGAGGCTCTTGGGATTTGTTTATCCTGAGAAATTGGAACAATACTCCAGAGCCTAGAATTCACAAAAACTAAGACCGAAATTTTGAGCGATGAAAAGATGAAACTTGAAAAAACATGAACAGACAAGTGGGTGAACATAGTGTTTCCATTCTAAGCTCTTGAAATTTGTTCATCTGGAGAAATTTGAACAATATTCAAGATCCTAAAATAGACAAAAATGGTGATAGAAATCATAAGCAATGAAGAGAGAAAGTATTAAAAAAAACGTGCAAACGAGTGGGTAGACATTGTTTTTCTATTCCAGGCTCTTGGGATTTGTTTATCCTGAGAAATTGGAACAATACTCCAGAGCCTGGAATTCACAAAAACTAAGACAGAAATTTTAAGAGATGAAAAGACGAAACTTGAGAAAACATGAACAGACAAGTGGGTGAACATAGTGTTTCCATTCTAAGCTCTTGAAATTTGTTCATCTGGAGAAATTTAAACGATATTCAAGATCCTGAATTAGACAAAAATGGAGATAGAAATCAGGAGCAATGAAGAGAGAAAACATGAGAAAAAACATGCAAACGGGTGGGTAGACATTGTTTTTCTATTCCAGGCTCTTGGGATTTGTTTATCCTGAGAAATTGGAACAATACTCCAGAGCCTAGAATTCACAAAAACTAAGACAGAAATTTTAAGCGATGAAAAGACGAAACTTGAGAAAACATGAACAGACAAGTGGGTGAACATAGTGTTTCCATTCTAAGCTCTTGAAATTTGTTCATCTGGAGAAATTTGAACAATATTCAAGATCCTAAAATAGACAAAAATGGTGATAGAAATCATAAGCAATGAAGAGAGAAAGTATTTAAAAAAACGTGCAAACGAGTGGGTAGACATAGTTTTCCTATTCCAGGCTCTTGGGATTTGTTTATCCTGAGAAATTGGAACAATACTCCAGAGCCTGGAATTCACAAAAACTGAGACAGAAATTTTAAGAGATGAAAAGACGAAACTTGAGAAAACATGAACAGACAAGTGGGTGAACATAGTGTTTCCATTCTAAGCTCTTGAAATTTGTTCATCTGAAGAAATTTGAACGATATTCAAGATCCTGAAATAGACAAAAATGGAGATAGAAATCAGAAGCAATGAAGAGAGAAAACATGAGAAAAAACGTGCAAACGAGTGGGTGGACATATTTTTCCTATTCGAGGCTCTTGGGATTTGTTTATCCTGAGAAATTGGAACAATACTCCAGAGCCTAGAATTCACAAAAACTAAGACCGAAATTTTGAGCGATGAAAAGATGAAACTTGAAAAAACATGAACAGACAAGGGGGTGAACATAGTGTTTCCATTCTAAGCTCTTGAAATTTGTTCATCTGGAGAAATTTACACGATATTCAAGATCCTGAAATAGACAAAAATGGAGATAGAAATCAAAAACAATGAAGTGAGAAAACATGAGAAAAAACATGCAAACGAGTGGGTAGACATAATTTTCCTATTCCAGGCTCTTGGGATTTGTTTATCCTGAGAAATTGGAACAATACTCCAGAGCCTAGAATTCACAAAAACTAAGACAGAAATTTTAAGCGATGAAAAGACGAAACTTGAGAAAACATGAACAGACAAGTGGGTGAACATAGTGTTTCCATTCTAAGCTCTTGAAATTTGTTCATCTGGAGAAATTTGAACAATATTCAAGATCCTAAAATAGACAAAAATGGTGATAGAAATCATAAGCAATGAAGAGAGAAAGTATTAAAAAAAACGTGCAAACGAGTGGGTAGACATAGTTTTCCTATTCCAGGCTCTTGGGATTTGTTTATCCTGAGAAATTGGAACAATACTCCAGAGCCTGGAATTCACAAAAACTGAGACAGAAATTTTAAGAGATGAAAAGACGAAACTTGAGAAAACATGAACAGACAAGTGGGTGAACATAGTGTTTCCATTCTAAGCTCTTGAAATTTGTTCATCTGAAGAAATTTGAACGATATTCAAGATCCTGAAATAGACAAAAATGGAGATAGAAATCAGAAGCAATGAAGAGAGAAAACATGAGAAAAAACGTGCAAACGAGTGGGTGGACATATTTTTCCTATTCGAGGCTCTTGGGATCTATTTATCCTGAGAAATTGGAACAATACTCCAGAGCCTGGAATTCACAAAAACTGAGATAGAAATTTTAAGAGATGATAAGACGAAACTTGAGAAAACATGAACAGACAAGTGGGTGAACATAGTGTTTCCATTCAAAGCTCTTGAAATTTGTTCATCTGGAGAAATTTAAACGATATTCAAGATCCTGAATTAGACAAAAATGGAGATAGAAATCAGGAGCAATGAAGAGAGAAAACATGAGAAAAAACATGCAAATGGGTGGGTGGACATAGTTTTTTTATTCCAGGCTCTTGGGATTTGTTTATCCTGAGAAATTGGAACAATAGGTACTCGAGAGCCTGGAATTTTCAAAAATTGGAACAGAAATCTCAGGCAATGAAGAGACAAAACTTGAGAAAACATGAGCAGACAAATGGGTGGACATATTTTTCCTATTCTAGGCTCTTGAAATTTTTTCATCCTGAGAAATGTGAACAATATCCAACATCCTGGAATAGAGAAAAATGGAGATAGAAATCATAAGCCACGAAGAGAGAAAAAATGAGAAAAAACAAGCAGACAAGTGGGTAAGTAAGCATATTTTTTTCTAGGATTAAATTTTGTTTATTTTGAGAAATTTGCAGAAAACTCAAGAGCCTGAAGTAAACAAAAATCGAGATAGAAAAGAAGCCATATGAAGAAAGAAAACTTGAGAAAAAATGAATGGACAATTGAGTACCTAGACATACTTTTCTTGTTCCAGGCACTTCAATTTTATTCATTTTGAGAATTTTGTAGGAAAATCAAAAGCCTGGAATGGACAAAAAATTAGTCAGAAAAATCCATCAATGGAGGGAGAAAATTTTAGAAATAATCAGCACATCATAGAATGACTTGAATTTTGTTCATTTTGAGAAATTTACAAAAAAAACTCAAGGTCCTGGAATAAACAAAAATTGATAAAGAATGACGAGTGGGTAGAGCTTGCAGATTTATCAATACCATTTTCCAAAATCATAAAATAGAGGCCTGCCAGTCATAAACATCTTAATCAGAGAGAAATACATCATATATATGCATAAAAATTATTTGTGTAATTAAATTTGTAAAGTCTAGTCACATGTTTTGAGGTCTAGTCAACACATCACATCAGACGGCCTCTAAACTTATTTTTATCCGAATCCTGATTGCAATAAGCTTCAAACTTCATTTTAAAATTTGAAAAATTGCCAGATTGTGTGGATTGTTATGGCGCCTCACTTAAACACCCACCATTTTGTGATTTACTTACATGAACATTTCCAGAGAGCTTGCATATTACAATAAAAAAAAAAAAAAATTAAGTAATTCTACCAAAACCACACATACACAAAAATTCTTACCTTTCCTCTTCAATTTGCTGACATCTGGCTGACTTTTACTCATATTATTATCAGTGTGCCTTAAACTCTTCAAAGATTCCAAAAACTCCTTTTTGTAACACTTGGAATCGGTGTCGCTCAAATCCGGATGCGAAACGCTTCTGCGCGAGTTCGAACTACCGGCGTACTGAGGTGTCGGCTTGATAAGCACAGGCGAGTGTCTTGCAAGTTCTGGCGAAGAACTTCTCAGGGAGTACAAAGACTCTCTGTCCGGAGTTACCGTTGAAGTGCTGGCATCATCGCGCCAATTTACTTCGGCTACGACCGGAGAAAAATGAACACCTGGAATGAATGGATAATGGTTATATTGAGAGGAGGCAAAGTGCTATTATTGTGTGGCTTATTTTCAGGCTATTAACGGTCTAATTAATAAATAATTAAGTGCTAATAGGCACTTGACTTGAGCTGTATAAAGCACACATCAGTGGCGTAATTAAGCGAATGTTGTAGAGAACTTATAGAACCTACGACAAATATTGAACTTTTCTTTGCTAACTAATGATAGACACTAGATACAGACACGAATCAGGTTAATAATCTAAGTACCTTATAGGTAGGTACTCTCTTATTGAGAAAACGTTGAAAAACAATCACGCATTATTATTACGAAAACAAGACAAATCTTTATTTAAATTCACGAAAAAAGTTTTAGATATTTATGTTGAAGAGGAGATTTTATAGTCAGACAAATATTGAACTTTTCTTTGTTGACTGAGTAATTCTAAGACACAAATCTCTAGGTAAATGATGTAAGGTAAGTACCTACTCCCTTATTGAGAAAACGTTAAGAAACAATCGCGCATTATTATTATCATGAAAACAAAGTCAAATCTTTACTTAGGTTTATGAAAGTCACACTTTAAAATGCATGTGCTTAAAAATCTGAACCTGGTGACATAATGCAAAAACTCACCTTTACTTCCATTGCTACCCGAAAAACTCTTAACAGAATTCCTCAAAGTCCTATCATCAATATCGCTCATTCCAGAAGTACTGGTACTGCTTTTAATAATCGACCCTTTCCTCCTAAACTCCACTTCGCACTCGTCGCCGGTACTGTTATCCAACAAAATATTTTTGTTTCGTTCTTCTTCGATTTTCGCAGTGTCGTATTTGCTGGAATTAATTTCGTGAGTACTTTTCCTCCTGTCGTCATCGAAATAAGTATTTTTCTGCCGACGTTCAAGTTCCAGTTCGATCCGGTTCAAGTTGGGTGTACTCGTTGCCGCCGATTTATTTTGGTAACGAGTTTCAAAAATCGGCTGTTGATCCAAGTGTTTTTGAGAACCGTGCAAACTCAAAGTACTGCTTATTAGGCTTTGCAACGACTGTTCCGAAATGGCTTTAAGCACTCGCTTATCAAAGTCAACTATAGCAGTTTTAGGCAGTTTTAGTTTATGTTTGTTTCTCAAAGAGTTTTCGTCATCACTAAGGTCCACTCTATTGGACATAGCTTCACTATAAGAACCTTCACGTTTGTAATAAGCCATTGTTTCGGGTACAATCAAAATATCATCCTCAAATTCAAATTCTTCTTGGGTAGTTTCAAGCTCGGGCTTAAACCTACACTCCTCTTCACAGGTATCGTTCAAATTCAAACTCAGATCGGCTAAATTCCAGTTTTTCTCAGCTACAGACGCGGCAGATGAGGGATGACGATTAAAATCGCCGACGAAATTCAAATCTTTTGGCACACTAGAAACGTTTACTGATGAATCTTGAATGTCAACTGAGAATCTTTCCTGATGGAGCAGATTGGGCACACTTGCGGCATGCGAGACGACATTAACCGCGCTAATTTTAGATAACTTATTCTCGGTATCTATATTTATAATCGGGTTGATGGCGGCCGTGGTTGTGGAATTCGCGTTAAGTAGATGGCGCTTTTTTCGTAGAAACATGTCGGTTAGAGGGGACGATTTGCTTAAGGGCTCGTAGAACTGGTCCACGTTTGAGAGGTCGTGGTAGGACACTCCGAAGTTACCGTTGAAATTCTGGAAAAAAAAAAAACTATCATTGCGAAATATTTAACCAGAAATATAAAAGATATTGTCAGGCTTCTTGCTTCGTGTTCTTTAAGCTTCATTGAAAATATTATCAGAGAAATCTAGATAAATATATGATAATGCTTATGGAATTCAAATTATTGGTTGCTACATCAGGATTCTTGTATTGTATTCGTCTTGTGTCAATATAATTCAAGTCTGTCATATCTACAGGGCACATGGCCCTTGGGTTAAAAATTGGGGTGATTTATCAATTTTTCAATTTTTCTGAGTGCCTTTTTTCATAGAATCCGGCTTCAAATCTCAGAATAATTTAGTGTATGGAGTTTGAAGGATCGCAAAGGACCATTAAGACACAAAATCTCAACATAAAAAAAAAATGAAATTTCATCGTTCCACTTATCACTGGAGTGCGTTCGACAACTAGTTACTAGAGTGTAAAAAAACCAATGATGTAGTAAGAAGGTTTAGAATGGGCTTTGCTTAACTCAAATGATTCCAAAATGAGATAGCGATAGTAAGGGCAGAATAGTACATTAAAATACAAGTTTCATAAGACGTGATTTTATCGCACGAGCCCTATATTAGAAAACGAGCCGGAGGCGAGTTTTCTAAAGGGCGAGTGCGATAAAATGTCTTATGAAACGAATATTTTATACTATTTTTTCTATTTTGGTATTGTTTAATTGAAAAAAACAAATTTTTCTTGAAAATGTTATTCTCATATTTCCAGATTTCATATGTTTAGGTTGGTAACACTACATGCCAAATATAGAATTCTTCTATTATTTTTTATCGCGAATGACAGTTCGATGGCCATCAGTCAGCCAGTGTTACCAACCTCCGATGAGTAAAAAAGGAGTGTCACAAAGAGCTTCTTTTCGAAACTACTTTTAGTGTCGAAAAGACTTCGATATGACACCAAAATAGAAAAAATCTATTATTGCATCTTTCAGATCTCTCACTCTAACCTTAATTGAGATAGCGCTAGTCAGGGCAGAAAATCTCACGGATCTTTCATGTTCTCTCACTCTAATTTTTGTCCCAAATATACGTAATGAGTAGATAGGCTAGGGCCATTCCAAACCTTCTTATTACTATTTCATTGAAAAAATGCACCAATTTGTCGGTCATTCGAACATTATTCAATGTTATTCTAGACCTTAGAGCAGGTAAAGGTAAAGAGGAGTAGTAACATGAAGTTGGAAAATGAAGCCGTTTTTTTTTCAGGTATTTTGGCAGTGCTAAACACCTGCCAAAAACTTGGCTTCACTTTAGTTTCATGAGCAGAATAATGGCGCGTTGCTACTCCTAACGCTTTACCTGCTCTAAGTTCTAGACAGTGAAAATTTGAATTTGTTGGCTAAATAATTGGAAACTGTTATTTTTTCACTATAGGATCTAGGTTGTCAAAGACACCCCTGAAGAAACGCTGGATAAACTTTCTTTTGATTTACTATACATTTCCCAAGGGATAAACCACCTTGGAATTATAGCATGTGATGGGATTCCAATGGAATTTTGTGGGATTCTGTGCAACTCCTTGGGATTTTGTGGAATTCTAGTAGGATAATTCCAATGGGATTCCTTAGTTTATTTGATAAGTCGATGTATATTCACATTTGCCCCTATATCAATTTTAAAATCTTGGAAACATACTCAATATCAAAGTATTGTTTCCAGATTTAACTTATTAATGAATCGTTCAAATACGAAAACAATTTATTAGTGAGGCTTTGCTTGCGTTCGAAATTTTTTTAAAAATTCACAGGAGATTCCATGAAACTCCTCGAGGAATTCCATTGGATTAGCATTCCGTTGGATAAAGGTATAAGATCAGGGGCGGCGATATGTATAAGCGGATATAAGCAATGCTTAGGGGTCCGAGCAATGCTTAGGGGTCCCCTTTAAGTACAAATATTTTCTTTAGAATAAAATTGAGAAATATAATGACCGATATCGGGCGGTGTCGGTATACTTAACTGGTACATTCTTTCCAGTTGCCCCCGTTAAGAGGTCATAGTGGAAAATTGAAAAATTATTTGAGAAATTTCATAAGTTAGCATGATCTTTCGATTTTGTCTATTAGACATAGCATAGCATCCAATGGATAAAGGAGCTATCATAGATAATCCAAAATTTGAACTATTACCGGCTCTTGATTCTCTGAAAAACTTCTAGCCGGTAATAGTCAAAGTTTGAACTTTTATCCACCCTGGATTTGCTAGAGACTTTTCCTAAGGGCATTCAAAGCTCAAGAGCCGATAATAATCAAAATTTCGAATGAGGGGATCTAATTGTGATATCTGCTCAGTGTACCCAAGCGTCGTCACCGTGGAATTCCAGTAGGATTGCGTGGAATTTCAGTAGGATTTCTTGGAATTCCAGTAGGATTTTATAGGATTCCGTTAATTGTGTAATTCTGGTGTGGTGTACACATTTTTTAAGGTGGTTTACCCTTTGATGTTCCCTGTCTGTTCTTCAAGGAGGAACTGCAAGCTTGACTATTCTTGAGACTTTTTTCCACATTGATAGAATACCTATTCCCAAACAGATGGTAACATGAAATATGTTCTATAACATCACAGTGATGCCACATTTCATAGTAATTTTCTTGTTTCAACGAAAAGTCAGTCAAAGTGATATTCTTTAGTAGGTACATATTTAAATACTGTCGGATTAGTCATATGCTTTGAAGCCTTCGAAATTGATGTAAAAATCTACAAATAGCCAAAAGAAGAGGTTTCTGTTGATCAAGAACACCATTAAAAACATGTATTATATGGATACATTAATGAACGTCCGGAAATTAGTTCTACTTAACTTGTTAGTAAGATTATTTGTAACCGCGAAACATGCATTACAAAAAAAGTCTTTTGGAGTTGACGTTTCTTAAAACATTCGTACTAATGCGTTTTTAAAACGTTTGTTTTTGACGTCTATATGACGTTTGAAGCTGGGACATTTAAGAACTCTACAGAAAAACGTCTATTGGTCGTTCCTGGATACTTCAAAAGAAGCCCAGTGGACATTGAAACGTCTTATCTCAAACCTTTTTTATAAAATTCGTATTATGACATTTTTAAAACGTCTATTTTCGACGTCTGTATATTTGAACACCTCTCCAGAGAACACACCTAAAAGCTGTACTTAAAAATCTCGACGAACGTAAGTCAAAGGGGGGAGTAAATATTAGACTTAGATATATTAATAATGTACCAAGAATAGTTTCATTTCACAACGAGGAAAATAAAGATTCAAAAAACTAATTGAATCATTTATTCAGGTTTCCTTTTGGTATAGTACCTATGCTCTATGGTAAATAAACCTGAAGAACTGAAAATTAGCATATACAACACACAGATCCAATTATCATCTTCATTACCGAAACATGGCTGACCAATCAAATACCCGATAGCATTGTGTATATACCAGGCTATATATGATGTTCCGCAAAGATAGAGGAACGCAAGGAGGAGGTATTGTGTGTATGTCAAAAGCAACATTGCCGGGCACAATACACATGCTGTTATCAGTCAACAATTCTACACGTCAGCTACAGTTGAATCACTATGGATCGAAATTAAGCTAAACAAAATCAAACTTTTGGTTGCATGTATTTATATAGGCCAAAGCAAAAGAACACAGAAGAACAAAACCAGGCTCTTAGACTATTGAGAAAGCTATGGCCCTTAAAGAGCCTGTCTATATCATGGGAGATTTCAATTATCAATAAATCAACTGGAATGCCTTGGAAGTGCACCCCCACAACCAGTGCAGCCATGACTTCTTGGAAAGCTACAAGAACCACCGTGGACATCAACGAGTAAACTTTCCAACTTTCCAACTCAGAAACGACAAAATATCACTCTTGGACTTACTAATAAGTTAATGAGAAGAAACTTGTATTTGACACACAACATCATGCACCACTGGGGCAAAGTGATCACATAGCCCTCACAACCAAATTGCAGATTACTGCACAGCCAACACACAAAGTCTACAAGAGGCAATTCTGAAAAGCTGATTATGAAGCAGTAAGAAATAGCCTACAGCAACATTTACAGCAAGTAACAAATCCAATGACTACTGAGAAGTTTTATGAGGTATTGACTATGGCAATAACCACCTACATTCCAATCAGACCTCAAAAAATAAATACACAAAAACCATGGCTGACCAGGGAAGTCTTCAAAGAGATCCAAAGAAAACGAGACTATTAGCATACATATAGAAGTAAAAAATCAGAAGCAAGCTACCAAAAATACCAGCAACAAAGCAACAAAACCAAGGCATGCAAAGCATCAGCAAGAAAAACCTATGAACATAACCTATTGGATAATAGTAAACAATTCTACGCCTACATAAATCGCACCCTCAACAAAACACATCACAAATTTAGCCTAATTAATAAAATAACACAAGAACCACAAACATCAAATCAAGATATTGCAGAGTGTTTTGCAGAAGAGTTTGAGAAAGTTTTCCCAGTGCTTAACTCGAATACGGTTCTGCCCACACTACCATATGCATATGCTACAACCGAATTAAAAAATATCGTGTTCACTCCGGAAAAAGTTGAAACTGCAGCAAAATCACTTAAACTATCATCAAGTCTAGGGCTCGACGAAATCCCTCCTATCTTTCTTAAGAACCGTATCCAGGTGCTAAAAGAGCCACTAGCTGACATGCTTAATAACAGCAAGAACAGGGGAATTCCCTGCAGCATGGAAAAAAGCAGTGGTGACGCTTATTTATAAAAAAGAAAATAAACAGCATGCAGAAAACTATCAACCTATTAGTTTAACGAGTACACTGTGCAAATGTATGGAGAAATTAATCGCAAAAGAGCTCACCCAATTTTGTATGGACACACGAGTCATACCAGATCAGCAGCACGACTTTCTTCCCGGGAAATCACACGATTACAAATCTCTTAACAAGACTCAATCACTGGGCACTGTTAGATGACAACCACGAACCAATCGATGTGATTTATCTTGACTTCTAAAAAGCATTTGACAAAATACCAACACAGTTCCTAATCCATAAAGTCGAACACGTCGGAGTTAGGGGCAATTTACTCCAGTTGATCGAAGGATTCCTCACAGGAAGAACGTTTCAGGTGCGTGTGGGTCCAACACTTTCAAAAAAGCACAGAGTGCATAGTGGGTGAGTACCACAATGATTAGTTCTTGGTTCTTTACTCTTTATTGCCTATATCTAGGGCTGGAAACAAGAAATGCATCTTTTGCCGACGATGGAAACATTTATGGAAATCCACTTTCGCAACATGCTGCTATTCAGAGAGACCTAAACAATATCAAAGAATGGACACAGCTATGGAAAATGCCCTTGAATGATTCCTACATATTGACCAGAACAACCCTAAATTAAATTACTTTTTTGAACAGTTTCAAATAACACCTGGCATACAACAGAGAGATCTAGGAATCACTGTAACCCAGGACTTGAAATGGAAACTCACATCACGCAAATGACCAAAAAAGCCTATTCAATGATTTACCTCATACAAAAATCATTTAAATAAAGACCTCTCCAAAGAAATGATACTAAAGCTACATAAATCATATTTCAGGCCAAGAGTGGAATATGCACAAACTATTTGGAATCCTTACTATATGCTATAATGCAAATTGAGAGAGTACAACGAAGAATAACTAAGCTGCCTCCAGACTCCAGACCTTCATGAACTGCCCTATGAAGAACGATTAACCTAGCGCTAGACCTAACCACCCTAATGATAGAAGAATGAGGGGAAATCTCCTTGGAACTTTCAAAATAATGAATGGGCACTATGCATGCGACTTAAGAGAGATCTACCACCTCAACCAAAACACTAATCTGGACACAATCTAAAGCTTTCCAAGGAAAAATGTAACAAGCTAATGAGAAGAAACTTTCTAACAAACAGGGTGGTTTATCTCTGGAACAATCTTGGTAAAAACACTGTCGCGTCAACAACAAAGAACCATTTCAAAAACCGTTTAGACTAAGAAATGAAGAACCAAAGCACAACTTTCTTTGTGGACTATACTGTATGAGGCAACTAAGATTCAGGAAAACTATTGAGACCGCAGAGGCTCTTTTGGCAAGAGTAATGTATGACTTCCCACAAATCTCTAATCTTTGAACAACAACTCAAATAGATTCAGCAGTTTCATCGGATTTAATCCGTCTACTGCAGATACCCATAATAATAATAATAAATTTCAAGAGAAAATATTCAAAAAACAAGCATGCCATTGATAACCATTGAAGAACCAATCGGTAAAAATGAACTTGAAGAAGCAATAACAGAAATTTCAAAAGTTAGAATAGGAATCAAAAAAAAAACCACAATACTGAAAGTCCCATGTGACGATTTTTCAAAACTTGTCATTCAGATTGGATGGAACTTTTAGTATATTATTCAGGACACCCATCTCTTCAAATTTCCACTTTAATTAAACATTTGTCTTTAATTTGTTCCACCTTACTCCCCAAAATCTGCAAATTTGACTACACTCAAAGGCAAAAATGAAATCATAAGAAAGAGATTGATAATACTGGTTTAAAATTTTGCCTGTATGATACCTACCTGAAACACATCACAATCATAAGCACCAAATCCCACGTAACTGTTCTTTCTATCACTTTTTTCCCCTGCATTCTTAGCCATTCTTTTCACTCCTTCCAACTGTCCAGTACTGCTACTTAAAGTACTAAAAAACGTACTTCCGCACTTCACATAGTTGTGAAGCAACAACTGATCACCGTAGCCGCTATCCTCGCTCAAATTCTCACTGGAAAACTTCCTGGTTGAAGTATTTGGGCTGAGCAACAGGCTGTCGAAGCTTCTCCAAGTTTTGAGATTGTCGCAAGATCTGGAATTCTCCACCGTTGTATCGGAATCGCTCGAGTCCGAGCTTGAGCTATATCTTGTAGAGGCATTATAGAGCAAAGAATCTCTGCTCGAACTTTTTTTAGACCTGAAATTATTTAATCATTAGTTGTAATTTGTAATGCCAAAAAAATGTTTACCTGGTGTTTATTTCGTCTTCAAAGTTTCTGAAAACTTCTCCATCGTACTCGGAGCTGAAATGGTGCACTTTTGCAACTTCCAAAGAGTCAAAGGAAAATATACTGGGCGAGTGGGTTTCTTGCTGGCACTGTTTCTCCAAAGTTTCAAATTGCAAAAGGCTGCTGGATCGGCTCAGCGAAATTTCGTCTTCGTCTTCCAGACACAAGAATTCTTGTTTTCTACGTTTTGGCGGACAAGCGATTTCGCGATCCGAGTCTACATCGTCTAGAATCAAACAACGAGTGAATTGGTTTAAAAAAAAATTTGCATTAAAACAAATCATGCAACAACGTTGTGACAATAATTATAATTTGTATGTATTTGAAATTCAATCTAATAAATACACGGTTGACGTTATTGTAAAGTTGCCAGGTCGTACTGTCTGTGCGATTTGCAAAACGAAAACTAATTCGTAAAGGTTACCCTACTACCTACTTTGAGCCCAGGCTTTGTATAAATTAAAAATGGTAAAAATAGAAAAAGTATAGTGTTTATAAGTTTCTTATACACTTGAATGCTTTGAAGTGGATTATTTATTGGAATCAATATAGGATTGTAAAGAGGAACTCATTTTTGTTGAAAATTTTTGTCTATTACAAGCTCTTGAGGGTGCATGAGGGATAGAAATAAATATTATACAAGAACCTAGAAATATAGAAAACAATAATTAATAAAGCTTCCAGAGCTTGGAAGTCCTTTGTAACTTCTATAGGAAAAATTTATGTGAGCTTGGTAAATATTTAAGTGATGCCAGTTAAGATGTAAGAGATAATTGAGAAATTATAAATCTTATGTTACAATGCAAATTTATGTAATGACTTATTGAGAAGCTTTTCTGAAAACCAAGACAGAGTGCAGTAGTGATTAACACACAAAAAAAAAACCTCATTAAACTTACATATCAAAATATCCATAAGCCAGCTAAAAGTTATTTTTACTTTTGAAAGGAATATATAGCAATACAATTAAATGGTGGGTGTTTTTATCATATACTATAGCTTTAGTAATTAGAAAAAAAATTACCAATTAAATCTATGCAGATGACGCTGCCACCTTCAGAATCGGTGGCCAGCCAGCCCAGAGGCGAATCTCTCGAATCCAGGTCGCTTTCGGATCTCAAATCGTCCGACGTTTCTTCTTGTATGGTTTCCAGGTACATGTACTGACCGGTGGTACCGTGCAAAAAATATTCTGCATCTGAAAAAAATACAGTTATTATGACTGTTTTCACTTTTTATTTATAGGTTTGCAGATGTACAATTAATTAGACAAAAAGTATTGTTGTCAGCTTAAAATTTATTTCCTCATCACGTTTTTTTTCTTTTACAAGAACTAGAAGATTTAGCAACAAACAAAACGTGACCTGATTTTAATTTTTAAGCTTGTTGAAACAAGTTCAATGAACTTTTTAGTTTAAAGATACTAAATACTCTTTTTGCATTTGAGTGACGATAATTTATTTGCATAAGATCACTATCCAAAGGTATGTGTGTGGGCTTTAAAACTTCATTCCAATATAAAAATTGCATATTTTATGTCCCTAGTATCGCATATGCACATAAAATACACATAACTTTAAGTACCTACCACACACGTTTAATTTGAATCTGATTGCTTAGGAATGTTTCGAATTTATCGCAATTAATGATTCAGTTTCTTTGAAGCAAAGATAAAAAAAGTTCATTGTACCATTAGGCACGCTATAATTTTGCCATACACTTCTACTTTTACTTTTTATATGAGAAATTTGATGGTTTGGAAAAATAATCGATACTTGAAAATTATGTGTTCAAATCAATAAGAATCAAAAAATACTCCTAAACTTTGAAGAGAAATGTGAATAGGTATTCATATTTTTTCTATTCCAGGCTCTTGAATTTTCTTTATTGAGAAAAATTCGCGAGCTAGGGATAGACAAAAATTGATTTGGAGAAATCGACTTACCATGGAGATTTTTGCTAAGAAAAATGGCATTTTATTTGAAAATTAACGTGCCAATTATGGAAAATTCGACACCTCGTAGTACAAAACTCATTTCAAAACATCACTTTTTCGCATTGAAATCGAGAAATATTCGAGAAAAACTAGAGCAAAATACTGCTACGGACATTATTGTGGAAAAACATAATTTTAACATGGCCACCCAAGGCCTACTTTGATGTTTATTTCGAAAGGTGAAGTTAGCTGATATTATTACAGGGACACAATACACCTTTACACTACAGTGGCTAAATAAACCTTTACATACAGTGGCGACAATAGAGGTCCCGCCGCCATCTTGTTCCCAACCCCTTGTTACTTTTAAATATTAATATATAGGATTTAAATGGACATCTATAATAAAAAATTGAAATCGACGTATTTGATGACCATTATTAGGTCCATCAAATACGTTGTTTTCCATGATTCATGATGGATGTTCACCTTAATCCCATATATTCATATTTGAAAGTAACAAGGGGTTGGGAACAAGATGGCGGTGTTTTCAATATAAATATATGGGATTTCAGAACCAATCAAAAATGAGACAGCAATTGTCGCCACTGTGGGTTATAAAGTCACTGTACTTTACACCATATTTGTGCTAATTTTGAATATTTCATAATGATTATAGTGAACCAGGCCTCTGCCGCCATATTCTTGTCAAATTTTCAATATGAACATATAAAGTCTGTTTTTTTTTAAAGATAATTCTCCAAGTCAAAAATTTAGTAACTATGTTGGCAACACATGCCTTTTCTACATAAAAAATTTGAAATCTTTGACAATTTTATATTGTATTGCCAACATATTGGCATTATGACTTTTATCTTAAAAAAAAAACAGATTTTAGAATTTCAAAAATAGGACGGAAATTGACGCCACTGTAGCCAATATGACAGTTTCCACTTAACATGGGAATATTTTCTATGAAAAAATGGCATTTTATGGCAATTCCTCGTATCATAAGAAACATTTTTTTACTACTAACCTGAGAAATAGTCATTATTTAATCTATTTTTCTGGGAAAAAATTGAATTTCTCTCCCTAGGTTAATACTGAAAATAATGAAAAAATACCTAGGTTAATAATGAAAATGACGTCATGACGCAAGGATATTGTTATGTTTTATTGGTTCAATTTCAATTTCATACGTCAAATAAAAAAAAATACAGGTTTCTGTAGGTACATAGGAAGTTATCATAAGATGTTGAAAAAGGACACACAAAATAATTAGAGCACAGATTACAAATTATTCATTTTCCACTAGGGGGCGGTTTCTCAATAGCAGGTCACCTCCGGGTTAAGCTAACTCCAGGGTAAACATTGCAATTTGACACGTTAACCCTGGAGTTTAAAATCAACCCGGGGGTGATTCGCTATTGAGAAACCGGCCCTAACACTCCTAGCAGTAGTGGAAAAAAATCTATTTCTCGGTAGAGAAAGTCATTATATACCTCACGCATCACACATTATAAACCTCAACTATTTCAGGGGAGCCCTAACGATAAGCGATAAGTATATATTCCCTAAAATGACATTTTCACATGGAGAAATGTCAGTTCAAGGCATACCTATTGTTACGGCTTTTCTAAAATAGTTGATGGAAATGGCCATTAGAAAAATTAAGAAGAAAACGAAAATTCAAGATCCGGGAATAGACAAAATATGAGATGGAAAAATTGAAAAATAAAGAATAAATAAATATATACTTAGATAATAATAATATTAATAATAATACCTGAGTAAACATCCAAAAATTTGCAAAAATATGGCGGCAGGGGCGTGGCTAACTTCTATATTCATATTCAAAATTTACAAGAATATGGCGGCGGCACCGAATTTCTATTTAAAAACTTGAAGTCACTGTAGGTGGGCCGGGACCATTGGAAAGGGTTGAAAAGGAAACAACCAATCAAATACCTTGACGATACATAATCCCCGGAAAGGGGCGGGGCTCAACTAACCAATTAAATGCCCTGCTGATATCACTCGCATCTGATTGGAAAGGGGCGGCGCCTATATCTAACCTATCAAATGCTTTGTTGATATCCTTACGTTTGATAACGAGTCAGCCACAGTGTTGCCAGCTTGAAGGAATTATCCCCTTTTTGCCTTTTTGAGGAAATTTTCTATTTTCGTTCGCAAAAGGGTAGAAGCGGAAAGCGGAATTTTTAAAGTCTGTTTTTTTTTTTAAAGATAAAAGTCAAAATGACATTATGTTGGCAAAACAATGTTGAATTGTCGATGCTTTCAATTTTTTTATGTAGAGAAGGCTTGTGTTTCCAACATAGTTACTAAATTTTTGACTTGGGGAATTATCTTCAAAAAAAAAACAGACTTTACTTTTTCTCTTATTTAGTCGCAAAATTTTCATATTCAATGAAAAATTGGTTATATTAAGCTTCTAGCACACGATATACAATAGGTATACAGGGTAGGCCATTGAACTTAAGACATTATTGAACTCTTTTTTTTTCAAAAAAGCGCCATTTTCGAGATATTGAAATGTTTCAATTTAAATGGACCACCCTGTATAAGTATGGGTACAACATCTCATTCCCGACTGTAAATGAAGGCGCAATAATTGTTTTTTTCCACTACCGCGCGTAAAGTACTTACGTTACGCACCTTTTAGAAGACATAAAATGTCACGCACCAGTGCGTTAAGTAGTTTTTTTACTACTAACCTGAGAATTAGTCATTAGGTCTGTTTCTGCAGAAATCACAAACCAGTCAGAGAAAATATCATTGGTTGAAAACAGTCAGAAACAGTCAGAAAACTAGTTTCAACCAATGAAATTCACACTGACTGGTTTGTGATTTCTCTAGAAACAGACCTATTATTCTATCAATTTTTCTGGGAGAAAATTAAATTTCTCTCCCTAGGTTAATAATGAAAATAATGAAAAAATACCTAGGTCAATAATGAAAATGACGTCGTGACGCAAGGATATTGTCATAACGTAACAGGTTTCTATTAGTTTAATTTCAGTGTCAAACTGTCAATTTTAAAAAAGGTTCCTGTATGTACATTATAGGAAATTACCGTAAGCTGTTGATAGAGGGCAGCACTTCCGACAAGAGAAAATAATTTGAGCACAGGTTTCAAACCTATTTTTTTATTTTCTACTAGCAGTAGTAAAAAAAATTCTATATATCCCTCGGTAGAGAAAGTTATAATGACCAACTTCTCTACCTAGGTATATAATGTACTATTTCCGCACTGGAATCTATTGAAAATCGGAAAATATTCGAGAAAAACCATTGACGGTCAAAAAACACAATTTTAAAATGGCCGCCCAAGGCCTGCTTTGATGTTTTTGAAACGTGAAGTAAGTTAATGAATAATTGTCACTTTAATTGATGCAAAGTTAGATTTTCCTTAAAAATTCAATTCTTTGCACCTGACACCCCAATAAACATTTATTTTTGTATAAAACTAACAAAACGTAATAGGGCAATCCAACGACCTATCAAATAATCAATTCAATATGTCGGCAATGGTCAAACATCTGCGATGTGTGTTTATGTATAGAAATATCAAAACCCAATGTGGCGATTACGGTCAAACAATGGAATTGGCGCCAAAAATATCGTTTACCTTCAGACAACCGTGTTATCATGAAACTGTTCTCTTTGTGTAATTTGTAGATTTTTGAGGAGATTTTTTATTGCTCGAAAAAGATAATTTACGTATTTTCGTAGGGTATAAACAAAAAAACAAATACACATCACAGATGTTTGACCGTTGCCGTCATATTGAATTTATGTTTTGACAGATCAGTGAATTGCAGGGATTATACACACTATTATAGGATTGCTTATCGCAAGGTTCCTAAAGTTAATAGGTTGCCTGGTAATGACGCATCTGGAGTACCCTATGGAGATTTGAATTATGTTGAGGCACCCCAGATGACGTCATAAAGTTATAAGGCAGCTTACTTCTCTCCTCAAACAACCTTGGTTTATCGGCCTCGTTTTTGGTAATCGCCGCCATATTGGTGTCTCACTATTTCCGACGTCATCAACAAGTCGTTAGCTGTACGCACTAGAGGTCGTAGTTTAGAATTTAAATTTATGATGAAAAATATTATTTAATTTTGATTAACATAATAGGCAAAGAGGAAGATGACAACCAGATCTAAAAAACAGTTGTTTTAGAATGTTAATTAATGTAGTTAAACTAAGTACGCATAAAGCAAAAGCCCGCGGAA